TTATACAATGGAATACTATTCAACCATAAAAGATAATAAAATAATGCCATTTGCAGCAATATAGATGGACCTGGAGATTGTCATTCTAAGTGAAGTAAGCCAGAAAGAGAAAGAAAAATACCATATGATATCACTTATATATGGAATCTAAAAAAAAGAAGACAAACGAACTTACTTATAAAACAGAAACAGACTCACAGACATGGAAAACAAACATATGGTTACCAGTGGGGGAAGGGATAAATTGGAAGTTCTAGATTTGCAGATATTAATTAATATATATAAAATAAATAAACAACAAGTTCATACTGTATAGCACAGGGAACCATATTCAATATCTTGTAGTAACTTATGGTGAAAAGACCATGAAAACAAATATATGTATGTTCATTTATGACTGAAGCATTACAATTGTACACCAGAAATTGAAACGACATTGTAAACTAACTATATTTCAATAAAATATGTACATACACACAGGAAAAAAGCAAAAGCAAAGGGACATTACAGAAAAGATATGTTCTATATTATTATATTACCTTTACCTGATCTGTGACCAGAAAGAATAATGAATAGAAAATACAATGAAAGCATGAGGAAGGACTTTTCTAGAAGCCTACAACAAACTCAATCTCTCATTTCAATGACCAAAATTGAACTACATTCCCTTTCCTAAATTAATGACTGGTAAAGATGGATGGAATTCTTAGCCAATCAGGCCCACCCCTTGGTGTAAGGATGTAGTAGGCGTCCCCTGAAGCATGGCTGCAAGGGAGAAGAGTGGGTATATGGAAGAAAATCTGTTAGGAAGAAGGAAGAAACAGATGCTGGCAGTAGTGGGGTGAGATCAACCAAAAGAATCCTCTGCACTTTATATCCACAGTATGCTAGCAATTGAGGAACTTTAAAGTGTAAAGGCAACTTTTACTATACAATTACTTTTACTGGCACTTGAGTTTTCCCTTGCTTTGTCAAAGTCCTTGGGGTAGACATGGGAGCTTATATATGTACACAGAAAGACAGAGAACGAAGTATGGCTAGTAGGTTTCCATGAATAGTAGACTTGCTATCTGGTGGGTGGGATATGGAGGGCACCAAATTCATGTTCTCTGTATGGTTTAAGTGGAATCAAATGGTCTTGCAGACATACGAAAGCATAAGGACAGGTCATCTAGTTAAGCCAATCCCAATTTTTCAAAATAGAAATAGTAAAATGTTCTTTAAATGCTTTTTAAAGTGTTTTATTTCACTCCTTGTCTTTAAGGCTAGTCCAAAAGGAACTAGTATTTGTTAAGGGATAAAATAGAAGGCTATGCACTGGGAAGAAAATGTACAGGAACATTGTACAAGATCTTAGGGTATCTAAGTGGGAAGAGACCTCAAGACCATTAGCTGAGTAAATATAACAAAGCACTCAATCTTTTAATAAAATTTACTGTGTCGATATTTTAAAAAATACGATGAACAGATGTTGACAATCAGCATCTCAACACCAACAGGCAAAAGGCACTGAAGTGAATGCTTCAGCTACAAGCTCTGAAAAGCATGATACAAACTCCTCAACTATTCAAGGTAATAAAAATTCACATTAAAGTCATATGGTACTGTTCAATTCAGGCTAAATGACAAAATATATACCCACCATAACTGGTTTCTAATAACTAAATAAATACTCATCTCTCTCAATTAAACCACAATTTGTAATAAGGTTTTGAGAGTCCCATCAGGGAAACAATATGGTAACACAACACCATATCAAGGCCTTAGACATGCTCTCACATACACACTGCGATAAGGTTAAACAACCTCAAAACTTTGAAAACTACTATACAAAATATTAGTGAAGGCTAAACATTTATGAGCCCTTCAAAGAAAAAGAAACCAAAGAAAGATAACTGAAATTTACACCTAAGCTATTTACTGGCTAAAGTCATTTAAAAGGTAAAATGACACACTAGAATCCATTAAGGTCAAAAAATTTGATCTGTTATCTGTTATGTTATAAAGTTAAATAAATATTACACAGCAGTACTCTGACCTGGACCACTTTCAGAAAGATGAACAGGTAGAGTAATTCCTCTAAAATATTTCAATTTGCATACCTCTGTTCAGCCACCTACCATAATCTATCTGTTCACAAGTCCGAACACAGGGCTGGGCTCTTGAAAAGTAACCAGTACATCGCATGGCACAGAATGGCCCCCCAGTAAATGCCTTTGGAATGAATGAACATGTGGTGGTAATGTACTTCTGAAATATCTTTACAAACCAATTCAGTATCAATTCCGTAGGAGCAGGGCATCCTGTAATATATACTATGCTATCACATTTAGGAGGCAGTCAAACTAATTAAAAAACAACTAACAGCAACTAATGTTTGTTAGGAAAAAAACCCATCACATGAGACATAAAAATAAGTGTAAAAACTGCAACTTGAAAAGGAAGAAAATATCTGTGAATTAATTTTTTTTCTCTTAATGGACACAAAAGTGAATCTACTTTCAACTTTATAACATTGAAATACAAGATGTTCTTTAAGGAATCTTTCATCACCCAAAATTTATAAAGAAATTTGTTATCAACTTACATTAGTAAGTTAGACCAATTAGTGAATGGAATGAAGTCCAAGCCCAATTATGTGTTCAAACTGTGGGTCGAATACCTTGAGCAATTCTTCCTCTTCAAGACTGCAGAAAAGTACAAAACAACCCTCTTAACTGCTGAGAAGGACTAAAATCATTTCTTTTTCTCACAAGTATGTAATCAAAAGCAATTACTTTCTGTTCCCACCCAACACCATCTCCCATTAAAACAAGCTATAGAATATCTGAGTGCCTTAATCTTAAGTGTTAAGAATCTCAGACCGCAATTAAATTACAATGCAACAAAAATATATTTTTCTAAGTATGTTCTTATCCCCCATGGTGATCCTATACTAATTTAACTCCCTATCAAGTATTAACAATCAAGGAAATCAGAAAAGCCTCAGAATTGATATTACAAACTGCTTGGATTTTTGATTTGTTATTGTTCATGGATTCCAAAATTCAGGGTACACATTACCAGGAGAATGTTTTTCTGTCAATGCCTGAATTTAAATGCAAATTACTATTTAATTATATGTAATTTTGCCTCTGAACCTATATATATATAATATATATATATATTATATTACTATATATATAATACTAATCAGTCTCCAAATGTTTAAAATAAACACACCAATCATGTTTACTTGAAAAGCATATTGCCTAATCACCCAGAGTTTCTAATGCATCAGAAAAAGTAGTCACTATCATGTCGCCATGAGAGCTTGGCAGACAAGCTGTTCCCAAAAGATTAGGAACTTCTAGTGACCATAAACAGGGTAAAGCAGGAGGCATATACAATGTCTGTAGATGCTTCCATAATAAAACTATTTCAATATCAAAAATTTAGAGCTTCCAAAGTCAGATATGTACCCTACAAAGCTATTTAAGTGCATGTATGCCTAAAAGGGAAAAAAGTAGGAAGAAAACTGTCTACTCAAATCAACACAAGAAATCACCCTGCAATTGAGTTTTCCAAAAACTGATAACATAATAAGATTCTTGAGGTTATCAACACATTCAAGTTCCAAAATAGACCAGCTATATTAAAATACAATTGGAATACTGTGACAGAAGACACAATGATAACAGAAAACACGCAATAGGGTTTACTTGTGGTAAGCACTGTTCTAGCAACATCATATTTTAACTTAGTCCTGATTACATCCCTGTAAGACAGGTACTATTATGATTTCCTCCATTTTACAGATAAAGAAAGTGAAGCACAGATAAAATCACCCAATTACACACAGCTAATAACAGGCAGAACAGAAATTTTTTAACTCCATCAGTCAGACTCCAAAGTTCATATTAATACACTATGCTTCACACTAAGGGTTATGTTACAATAGTCAGCTTTTTTTTTTTAAACCTCATAGCCTTTTTTGATTTCAAACACTAAGGTAGCTTTGTGCAGCAAGAACAAACCCGTGAAGAAAGTCTAAGCCTCAGCTTCCCCATACGTAAAATAAGGGTATTTAAGTTATTGTGAAGGTCAAAGAAGGTAATACAAGGGTTCTTAGCTTTAAGTTCACAGACACCCAGACGGCCCACGGATGGGCTTCAGAGTCCACGAGTCTCGTAACTGCATGACAAATGTTGTATGTGTACCCATTTATTAAAGAATCGTCCCTGGACCTCCAAAAGATTAAGAACCACAAGAATGCATAGCAGGTACTCAAAAACTGAAAGCTATCTTTCCCTTTCTTGTTCTCTAAAACTCTCCCTTTTCCATTAAGGATGACACCCCTGGCTTCACAATAAATGTTAATTATTTCCCAACATTTTCCCTGCTTGGCAACTAGTAACATATGCAAGCTTATGCCTCAATTTTCTAGACAGTGTCTAAACAAATTCCTCAAAAGCTTCTCCATCCGCCGCTTCACCGAGACGAGTACACGGTATTCACTCGGTGAGAATCAAGAGAATCGTCCACCTGGCTGCACGAAGCACCATGCCGTCTGGAAGAACCAAGTAGGAACCGGAGCCTCGGGGTAGCACAACAGAGACCTGACGCCCCAGCGCTGAAGGATAAGGAGAAGGTGTTTCCCCAAACTACTGGGCAACCCAGAATCCCGTCCCCTCTACCCTTGTTCTCCCTCTCTCTGGAACTCCCGTGCAGGCAGTTCCTCTGGGCTCTGCCCCGTGCTGGTATGGAGGAGAGGAATGTTACCTGAGCAGGGGTGTGCAGCGCAGCGAAGTCCCAGCTCTGCTGCCTAGAGAGGCAAGGGCAGCACCAGCAGAAAACCTGCCCTCGACTACCCCACCGAGAGACCCCGGTACAGACCCTGGCCAGGGCTGGAAACCGGCTTGGGGCTTTTCCGTTTTCTAAAGCGGCTTCCGCTTCCGGGCTAGCCTTTGCCGGAAGCAGTATACGGCTGACGCAAAAGTGTCGTGCCGCTGGTAATTCCGGAAGAAACAAGAGTGCGGCGTGAACATGGTGAGAAAGCGGGGTCGGAGAAGGGACGTTGTCGCACCACATTTGGAACGGAGATTTGAGGGGGTAGTAGCCCTTGGTCACATTTCCTCCACATTCCCCTTGCGTATTTTTATTCCGGTCTCAGCTCTTAAACTACTCGGAGTGGTGCCTGTTGAGGTCCAGCGAATGGGGAGAACCCTGGTTGGGACAGAGACTAAGAGGAGCTGAGTATTCGAGGGAAGAAGGGAAGGGAGTGGACGAAAGGAAAGGAACTTAAGAAGATGCAATTTCCAACTCTTTTAACTCTAAAATTTCTGTTTCAAGGGGAAGCAAAAGAAAGCCCGGAAATATGCGACCATGAAGCGAATGCTTAGTCTCAGAGATCAGAGACTGTGAGTGTCTGGAATCAACTGGGTTCATAGATTTTCCAGAGATATAGGAGTCGCAAGGGGATAAGTAGTGAGATATTTTGCTGTTATTTTGTGTTTACTTTTAATAATTATTGTGTTTTGAATTTATATAGCGAAGTATAACACTCATTTAGCTGCTGAGCAAGCACACTGGTGAATGGGATGGGAATTCATCATGTTAAGTGTTCAGTTTGTGCCACTGTTTTTATATATTACATCTTCCATATCACATTTAAGCTTCCTAATAGTTCTGTGAGGTATGTAGGATTATCTTTATGTTCTTGCCATTACATTTCTGTATTCCCTAGGAAAAAAAATTGTTAACATTGTTAAAGGATCGCGAGGTCAGAAACCATGATTGTCTTGTGTCTCCAGCACCTGACACTCAAGTATTTATGAAAGAAATAATGGGAAAACACCTAGATGTCTCCATTTTGTAAGTGTTATAAGATTTATGGCTGTGGAAGAAAAGTAGTAGAATAATAGTCCCTATTATAAAGAGAACCTAAACAGCTTGCCTGCTTCAGTGAAGAATGAATTGAGTTATTAAATAAGGAGTGGCCTTCATTGTGTTTAAGAGCCTCAGAACAAAGGAATCGTCATTAGAGCCTTCAGTCATTAAATTGTATTCTCAGCCTTGAGTATGTATTTATCATGTAATTTTTAAGAAATTTGCCCCACTAATAATATTTTATTTCTTTTTGGGGAGGGGGAGGTAATTAGGTTTATTTATTTATTCTTGAAGGAAGTACTGGGGGTTGAACCCAGGACCTTGTGCATGCTAAGCATGCGCTCCACCACTTGAGCTACACCCACCCCTCTTATTTCTAATTAAGGTTAAATTTTGCATATGTATTGTTACATTTTAGCCCTTTATAAGAGGCAGGTAGGGGAACCATTTCCCCTCTGTTGTTGAAGCATCTGAGTCTTCAGACGATAAATGTCAGCCTATTTAGTCACTGCTTGGAAATGAATTTTTATCCTTGATATAAGAAAGAAATAATACTATAAACAACATTTATTTACCCATTAACAATCTTTATGGATTATTAGCGAAAGATGTTTAAGTGTAATTATGTTTACTGATTAATTATGTTAATTCCAGGCTACTTCTCACACAGGCATTTGTGCTCAGAAAGTGAGTTGCTGATATTAATGTAATGAAGTCACCAAATAGAATTTTCTTCTGTAAACCAAAAAAAAAAAAAAGGAAAGAAATAAACTGTAATTTTGAATGAGGTTATAACTGCTATGATTTTTTCCCCCTTGCATTTACTTTACTTTTTTCTTTTTTGTAGTAAAGAAAAGGATAGATTAAAACCGAAAAAGAAAGAAAAGAAAGATCCCAGTGCCCTCAAGGAAAGAGAAGTGTGAGTAATCAAAAATTTCAAGTTTTCCTTTAAAACTAGAAGAGACATTCTAAAAACCATAGACCTCTTAGAAATTCAGGCTTTCCCTGAACTGATTTGCTCAGTCATTTGTAAGTCACTATGCCGAGTGATATTGATAAACATACACCAATTCCAGTGGTTTCAAGGTTTTTTGATTTCATGGAGCAGTAAAATTTCCTGTAAAATCCTGAGGATTAAGTCTAGGATTTTTTTTTTTTTTTTTTTGCCAAAAATCTGTCAAAAGACGTAATTGCCATTGTTTAACACACTATCATTTCATCAAAGAGAGAATGTATCAAAAAGTAGTAAGGACATATTTTCAGAATAAAGGTTATTCTTTTTAAATAAATACATTTAACTTTATGAAACATCATCATATTTTTCTAATTTTTCTCATTTTGCCCTAGATTGGTGATGGATATATCATCACAGGATTTATTGGGATTTATTTCCAATGAACAAGGAAAAAGGAGCAAACAATTCCAAGCAGAGACTTCTTTTGTTTGTTTATATCAAAATGTCAGTGTAGATACTACTTTGTGTTTTATTTCTTTTTCCTTCAGCCCTCAACACCCTTCCTGCTTATTCTTCCAATATAACACACAGCTGGGCCCACCTTACCACATCCTGGTTGATACCAACTTTATCAACTTTTCCATTAAAGCCAAACTGGACTTAGTGCAGTCAATGATGGACTGTCTGTATGCCAAGTGTGAGTATCGTACTTTTCCATTACTGTGACATTTGTACAGAATAGTCATAATCATCCAAAATAGAAAAAGAGGGGAATGGGATTTTAGTTAACTGAATTGCTAGCCATTTAATTTGCTCACCATAGCGATGACTGGTTTTTTTTTTTTTTTTTTTTAGCAGTGACCATTTTTAACGAATTGAAATATGATGCAAACTTGACTAGGAATAATTAAACTTTCACAATTCAGAAAACACTTAGAAGATTTTTTGACCATCATTATAGACATCAATTCTGAATATAGGAGGGAAATTTTCTGTTTTAAGATTTTGGATTTTAAAAATTCTGGATATATGAAAATTTGTTTCTTTTCTCACTATGTATATATATTTTTACATTAAGGAAGAAACAGTCTTCCTTCTACTACAGTGCAGAAAAGCTAAATAAGACATTTTGCTATTTACAAACACAGGACCAGAAGTGATGATGGTCAACTATTCCTAAATTTATTTAGTTTGGCTTTTATGTGTCCACAAAGGATCTGAGGTAGTTTATTTACATATAGGTGTGCAGTTTACCATTAATAGATTTCCCTTGTGTATTTGGGTGTTCCCTGCTTCAAATGATCTTCTCTTACTGCCATGAGGAGGAAAAAGAAAATTTAGACCATGTACAAGGGAATAACTTCCTAATAGTGACATCTGGTGCATTTTGTGGTGGGATGGGTTTATATTCATGTATTTTCCAGTTGCCTAATTAAAGGTACAAATGAAAATCAGAATTATACTTTGCCATAAAGAATAAGTTACTGGAATAAATGGAAAAAATTTGCACCTTCTTTAATGTTTAAAAGATACTATATAATAAACATTTATAGAGTGGTAGTAATATAAATGTTGTTTACTGACTTATTAAAATTAGCAAGATAAGGTATGTGGTGAGTGAGATAAAGTCTTTGAATGCCTAAAATTAATAAATACAGAAGTAACTGAGTAATTTTATTATATGAAGATATAATAAAGTGAGAAAGACAGCTAATAGGGTGAAATCATCATCTCTAAGGATCAGAGTTGGTGGGGTGGGAAAAAATCAGGGGACGACTGTTTTTCATATATGCCTTTCCGTATTTCTTTTAAAAGCTATGTACATGTAGGACTTTAATTTTCTAGAAAATCTCTTAGAAATAGTAAAGAGTAGTCTGGAGTTGGAGCACTACCATGTCTGTTAGAGTAGGCTAGGGTGGCCTGTATTAAGGAAGACACCAAACCTGGTAGACTTTTTGTATTCCCATGGTGTTTCTTATAGATGTCTTAGCTGCTTCTTCAGAAATGCTTTGGCCTATATGTAAATGACGTGGGTGGAGGGTTCAAGCATGGCACCTTGGAGGTGAATTGTTTCTCTGACTCTGTAGTTCCGCCATTGCTATCTAAATGGTGATTGTTTAGGATAGCTTGAGTCCTATAGTTAGGTTTTCTCTAGGTGTGGTTACCTTAGAGTACAGCTATAATCCATATGGCTAAATGCTCTCACTGTGCCTTTTCTAAAAACAAGCTAATTAATGAAAATTCTGTGCAACATAATACTTCATAGCAGAGGTTGAAGAAACATTCAAGCACAGTACAAATTCAGTTACCTAGGACATTCCTTAACTGTTTTAAGCTCTGCTTATTTAATTTTTCTTCAGTTGCCTTTACATATAAAGGGAGGCCTTTACCTTCCTCTTGCCTTGGAGATTCCCTTTGACCTTTTCTTAGTCCCTAGTTTCTTCCATTTCCATCTGATAACCTACAAGGGAGGATAGTTAGCCGCCCATCAGCTTTCTTTTCTGCCCATGAGTCTTCTTCCCTGTTCTTTGTAGTGATCTTCCCGGGCCTGCTTCCCCACTCTAGGTGTAAGCCCTTGCATGTTTCAGTGCTACATGGCTCTGAAATTGATCCTCCTAAGGCGCATATTGCCCTCTGAGTCCATAACTATCTGCTTCTCCTGACTTTCCTCCATTTTACAACTGCTTTTTCTTCTGGGCATGGTGTTTTAAAGTTTCTTAACCTTACTTGCTTTCAAAGTGTTAACGTACTTCTAAAAAAAAAATGGCTTTCCTCTGACGGGCAGTTTTTAAAAAATTCATATGCAATTTCTGTGGGGTAGAGTTTATTTTTGCTTATTAATGAGAGTGGATCATACATTATTCTTATTGTCATGCTTTTTTCTTTAACAGTTTTGAGGTATAATTTACATGCTATTCATTTCACTCATTTAAAGTATACAATTTGGTGGCTTTTGGTGTATTCATAGTGAACCATTAATTTGCTTTCTGTCTCTATAGATTTACCTATTCCCGGACATTTCATTAAAATGGTATCTTTATTACCAAATGATATTTCATTGTATGGCTGGATCATATCTTAGTTATCCATTTTTCCTTGCTTTTTACATTGAACAAATACATCTTGAATGTTATACTGTATCAATATATATAGATGGATTTATTCTTTTTTAAATTACATAGTATTCTATGATTTTTTTTTAATTTTCATTTATTTATTTAGTAGGGGGAGGTAATCAGGTTTATTTATTTATTCATTTATTTCCTTAATGGAAGTACTGGGGATTGAACTCAGGACATCATGCATGCTAGGCATACACTCTACCATGGAGCTGTACCCTCCCTCCAGTATTCTGTTTTTTAAATATATCATTTTTAAAGACCAACATCCTAATAGACATTGGGTTATTTCCAGTTTTTACGCTATTACAAACAAGGCTGTAGTGAATATTTTTGTGAATATGTCTTTGTGTTAGGGTGGAGTATTAGTTTAGGATACATTTTGTAAAAGCTGTATTGCAATATCGAGGGGGTACTTTTTTTAAATTTTAATAGGTATTGCAAAATTGCCCTCAAATAACTTCACGAGCTTATATACCTACTAAGTTAGTGTGAGAATACCTATTTCCTCAATATTGGTTATTTTCATCTGTTTAATTTTTGCCATGCTAATAGAAAATGAAATCTTGTTTTAATTTATATCTCTTTAATTAGGAAATTGAGCATTTTTATGTTGATTGACCATTTGTATGTCTTCTTTTGTGAAATGAAATGTAGCCAGATGGTTAACAACCCACTCTGTAGCCTGACAGTCTCAGTTCGAACCTTGGCTTCACCATTTGCTCTGGTTACTTCATTGTGCCTCAGGTTCCTCATCTATAAAATGAGAATAGTAATAACAATGCTACCTGATAGGAATTGTTCTGAAGATTAAATGAGATAATCCTTGTAAAGTGCTTAGCACAATGTCTGGTAAATACCACATAATTCCAAGTTATTATTATAAGGTTCTTTACATATTAAGGAAATTAGCCCTTTGACAGATATGTAGAAATATTTTTCCAGATTATTTTCATTTTACTTTAATATGACTTTTTATTTGATAGTTGTCAAATAGAACTTTTATATTTTTATGTGATCAAATTTACATTCTCTGGTTAATTTCATGGTTTCTTTTGGATCACATTTAAATTTTTTTTCATCTAGAATTTATTTTAATATGTAAAGATTGGCAGGGATCCAGCTTAATTTTGTCCCCAGATACGTTTATGAGAGATACTTTATGGAATCTTGATGTGGGATTGGAACAGTTCCCTAGTTTCTTTTTTTTTTTCACTTTTTTTATTGAGTAATAGTTATTTTACAATGTTGTGTCAAATTCTAGTGTAGAGCACAATTTTTCAGTCATACATGAATGTATATATATTCATTGTCACATTTTTTTGCGCTACGAGCTACAACAAGATCTTGTATGTTTTTCCCTGTGCTATACAGTATAATCTTGTTTATCTATTCTGCATTTTAAAATACCAGTCTGTCCCTTCCCACCCCCTGCCACCTTGGCAACCACAAGTTTGTATTCTATGTCTATGAGTCTGTTTCTGTTTTGTATTTATGTTTTGTTTTTTGTTTTTTTTAGATTCCTCATATGAGCGATCTCATATGATATTTTTCTTTCTCTTTCTGGCTTACTTCACTTAGAATGACATTCTCCAGGAGCATCCATGTTACTGCAAATGGCATTATGTTGTCAGTTTTTCTGGCTGAATAGTATTCCATCATATAAATATACCACATCTTCTTTATTCAGTCATCTGT